GCCTGTGAACCTGGCCTGGGATTCGTGGTCCATGTCGGCCTGGTAGGGGCTCGACTGGTGAACGTTTCCCATGACAAACGGGAAAACAAGCAGGTGGCTGGGGAGGAGGGCGAGGGCAGAGGGCGCCGAAGTGGAAGGGGGCTGGAGGCTCGCCCCTGAGTCTCTCCCTCCCGTTCAAACCTTTATCGCGGGTGGCCGAACACCCAGCCCTTTCGTCCATCGCTGTGGGATGCGCACGCCTCGTGTGCTCAGAGGCTGGAGATGGGGAGAGGAGGGAGGAGTCGGGTGGGAAGGGACCGGGGCGTGAACATTTAGAACTAGAAGCCGCCGTCACACGGAGGTCGATCGAGGTCTCTGCCTCTAAGCCTAACACTGTCGGCGCAATAAGAACTGCGTCAGCCTCACTCACAACGTTTACTTTCTGAGACAAGAACCAGACGAGGCCCACACGGCAGAGAGGGAAGGAGCTCGGCACCCCGGCCGGCTCCATTCTCGCCCTACGGTCGGTACTTGCACAGGAAGTGCTGGCGCCTGTTGCATCTGCCGCTGTTCCAACTTAAAAAATCTGTAAGGAAATAAAAACATTTCAATCCATCCGGCTTTGTACTGAGCTTACCAGCATTTTCTGGAAGTTTTCCTTGGAACCACGGTAAGGTGCCGTGATGGTTAATTTTATGTGTGGACTTGGCTGGGTGGGATGTGATGCTCAGTGGTTTGGTCAAACACCAGTTTAGATGTTGATGTGAAAGGCTTTTTGTTTGTTTGTTCGTTTGTTTGTTTGGATGTGATTAGCATTTCAATGTCTACTTTTGCTTGCTTAACTCTAGTGATGGTTTCTCACTACCCATTACATTTTTTGGACAGGGCTCATTGTTCAAATTTTTTTCCCCCTTAATCTGGATAGAAACCTATATTTGGCAGCACGTGCCCATTGCCTCGGCTGCGTTCCCTTCATCGGAGCTGCCTTAGCGGCAGCTGTGGTCCCCGGGAGTCAGAGCAAAGTTTTCCTCCATCTGTGACGAGA